GGAAAGAGAGGGCTTCATTTCAGAGCAATAATAAGGGGTTATATGTAAATTGGAGAAAAGTGAGGAAATTCAGCAGAGGACACTTTATAGAGAATTAACAATGAAATCTATTACACTGGGAAACAATCTGCAAGGAAAGTGGCATAAACCTTGTCACGAGTAATTTAGAGATAGAAAGAATTCTGCAGGGAATTATCTGGCATTGACAGAGGAGGATAAAGATGCTGACCTCCTAGTTTTCTTCCATCCTTCATGTAGATTCGAAAAGTGTATTCCTATGAGTCTCTGATAATCAGGACAATTGCTCAAGTGGCACCTTTCTGGGTCGACCAGAGTCTGTGCCAATTAAGAGAACTGTACTGCATAAATTATACCTTTTGATACTACTATAATTTGTGTGACTAAATACTTGACAGAGATATGATATTCTTAGCCTTTCCTTAATAGAATGTCTCGCACTTTGAAGATTTCTCTTTCCCCTCCACCCCACTTCAGAGCGTCGCCGTATCCTGATAGGAGCTACTGGCTGCCACTGCTTTGAACAAACACCTCTGTCAGAGCAGGAGAGCGCCAGATATTTGTTGCATCATGGTTCCAGTCATAAAACAAAAGCTTGCAAACCAAGATGGCTTGGGAAGCATCTCATATCTAAAAGGCAGGACATCTGGAAAATGAAGATTCAAAAAAAATTGTTGTTGTTGTTGTTCTTATTGTTGTTGTTCTTATTGTTGTTGTCATTATTATTGTTGTTATTATTGTTGTTGTTATTGTTGTTGTTATTATTCTTCTTGTATCCTGAGCCTGACCTTAACCTGCTCTGACATTTTTGTACTTCGGTTTGTGTCACTGCTCGCATGGGTGTATACACAGCACTGGTTAAAGTAAAGGCTGCTGATAAAGGAGCTTGTCTCTCTCCTTTTATTAGAGTGTTGAAATAACTTGATAATAGAGGAAGCATTAGGATAACATGTTATCTTTTGTGAGTCATCAGCCTGTTCGATAAACATGCTTTGTGCTGCAGTGGGCAGCATCCTCCCCCTCCTTCCACCCAGGCTCACTAGCCCCTTCCACCAAACGCTTGCGGATGAGCAAACAGCCAGGCAGCCCTGGCTCCCCGCGCTGCTCCAGGGAAGGGCACTGCTGCAGACCTGCAGAAAGCTCTCGATATTTTTTCTATTCTCTCTTTTCACATTTTTATGAAGTTTACAAGGTCCAGCTGCAGTTACGCATCTCTGCCATCTCTACCAACGCACCTCCCTCTGATACTGAACTCTGGCCCCTTCAGCACTTCTGTGAAACAACCTCTGGAGTCTCTCATCTACGGCCTTCCACTTTTTCGAGTTACTTTACACCGTACAGAAGTGACAATGCTTGGCAAGTCTAAAGGCCTCTTAAAAGTGCTCTCCAATCACATTCAAATCTGTTGTGAATAGTTTTATCTCCATTTTACAGACACAAACATGGGGGCAGAAAGGCCGAGTGACTGCCCTGGGCTCACACACAAATATTATGTCATACCTGTCCAGCATCCTGAACCCATGGTGTTCTTTCTTAATGCAAAGAATCTCTTCCTCTCTATTAGTTTTTCCTTGTTATTCATAATTCTTTTTGTTAGTTACATTATTTAAATTTACACGCACAAAGGAGACAGTCTACTGTTCTGTCATTTAAGGTTTTAGATGCTTCAATCACAACTGAGGGAAGATTAGGTGAATCCCCAAATGTACGTACAACTGTTGATAAACCCTTGGAGACAGTAAAACATACCACACTCTATTTTCTTCAATTTTTAAGGCCTCCAGACATCTTTCTACAACACCTCTCTCTACAATGACAGCACTATCAGTCCCCACAGCCCAGTTTCTTTTTCATGGACCCAGAAAACAGATAAAAGTCTCCTTGTGAGCTCAGCCTGGAAGACATTCTCCTTGTTATTCTCACATACAGAGCAAGACACGTCTTCAACAGAAGACTACCTCTTCCAACACCTCTGGGTAAATCAATGCCCAAGCCCAGTGCCATCTTCTGATTAATTTCTGGGTTAAGCTCTGCTTGACTTGTGCTTTGGATTGCTCTTGTTAATTCCCCAATTAGAAACATGTCATTCAATTCCAACTTCTCTGCACAATTACTTCAGGAATCTCCAAGACCAAATGACGTGTGAATGTTTTTACTGGAGTGCTTATGACCATGGCATAGTGTGAAACATCAGACTCACTGAACCTGAGGTGCCCCAAAGGCAAACTCCCAGGCAGGTTTGCGTGTGAATGACTGGATCAGACATGGTCACTAGGAAAAGCGTGGGTTCATCATTAAAATAGATAGGGGAGGTGGCTGTAATTTGAACAATGCTTTCCTACCATTAGCAACAGAAGTACCTGAAACTGATAATCAGTGTCACCCTTTTGAGAGAAACAGTGCCACAACACCGGGCTGTGTTGTGGGGAGGCAGTTCCCCCTCCTTAGATCTCTCCCATGTATGTATATACACAGACAGACATATCCACATACATTTTGTAAGTGCTATACACATACAGATATGCTAGGCACGTACACTCTCTGTGTCCATAAAAACATCCATGAAGAAGACTTGGGACTGAAGCCACTGTTGGAACAAGTCCATGGAAATAATGGTGGCTTAAAACAAGCTGAAATTTGGTACTAGGCTGTGAATACGTCATTAACACTTCAAATGACACATGCAGATAAGTTTGCACACACATCACCTCAAAATACTTGCTGAGGAAATGTAACCTCTTTGCCTGTAGCTTAGCAAGCAGCATTAAAAAGTGTGCAACAGAAGGGTTCCCACGCAAAGTCAAGAGCTCACAGGCGATTCATTCTTGCTCGGTCTTTATGAAGGGGACGTTATCTTGGAGTGCTCCAGTGTGCCGGGGTTCTTAGTGCTTGTGGGAGGGAAGGAGTGGGATGCCAAACTCTGCTCTTGACATTGTGACTTCTTATAAATGAAGTAAAGCACAATGGCTGTTTATCAGGAAAGGACATTTAATGCTTTCTTAGTTATGACAGGGTCGCTCTGTTACTATGAGAGCTCATACTATGAGAGGAGGTAAGCTAGCTTTTCATGCATGCCATTTTCAGTGGCTTGCTTTAATACTAATGTAACAATAAGAAAGGACACTAACAGCTTATATTTTGGGTCCTAATATTTACTTTTCTTAAGTTGTTCTTGAGTCATATTTACTATGAGGTTGTTTGTGTGAAATACGCATGTCCTTGCCAGAAGCAAGACCTGTTTTACACAAGACCCCATGCAACCACTCAACATTGCTACATGGACATCCATTAGCCCCCTTCCTTCCCAACTCCCAACAGAGACAACCAGAGATCACAGAACAAAAAGACTGGGTGAGCAGCCAAGTAACAGTAACAAAAAGGACATCATGCAGAGCATCAGAGTGAGCAAGAGATACTGAGGAGGACATCCATTCCTGGGGGTACATCATGACGGGTCATGGACTGGCAATGACCAAATAGATTCCTTGCATTGCAAAAGCAAATGCAAGGAGCAACAGCAGCTAAAAAAACGGGAGGGGGAAAATGCAGCTGGGCAAATCTCTTCCATTGCAGGCAAAGGTGAAGTCATCATAGCAGAAAGAGTAAAAAAAATCCTTCTTCTTCAGGAAAATCTTGACCAAGGCTAAGAACAAGGAAGAATGTTCTAACAACTACCAGCATCTACCTAGCTGGAGATGCCTGGGTTTGTTTATCATGTCGTACGACAGATGTGCATGCGCTGGTATTACAAATGACTGACTGCATCATTCTCTTACACTTGCCAATTAAAAGCCAAAGACTTGCTTTCCTTTTTAAAGTATGTTGCTCTCAAGTCAATTTGATCATTCCTACAGACATTTTAAAAGGACTGCCACTGTGGCAAACACCTTTCTTATCACTAAATTTCTGAGTGAGGTTTTGTACACTGGGGGGAATAAACCTGTTGTCAGACTCCCTAGATGAAAAAGGAGCCTCTCCTATAACCTAGCTAACCCAAATCCCCGGTGACATTTCTTTTTACCTTCCATACGCCCTGCAAGAAAAGGAGTCTTTGCGCAGGGACCCAAGGGACTTCACTTTGCAGAGCAAACTACGTGAAACCAAAAGACTCCAGAACTGCATATGTACCGTGAATGGAACTAGATCAACTTGACCCCCTTATTTTGTATATAGATTAAAAATGATCATATCATCACTTTACAATTGATAGTTTTTGTGGCATGATTATTGGGGAAGGCTGTCCACCACAGCAATAAATACTCACTGTTTACGGTACCTGCTAGTGCATTAATATTATTCAGTCCAACAGTGGCTCCAGCCAATCCTTGGAGAGTACCCAGAGAAGTCAAAGAATTCATGGCCGCACCAGCTGTGGAATTAGCAGTTGATGCAGCCACTGAAAGGAAACAGAAAAGCAAGGCAAAATTAAGGCCACAGTTTGCTTATTTTAGTTGATCACAGAACAACTTTCAATAATGCTGAGCTCAACAACAGGGCTACTTCCAAGAAAAAGATAAAAAGAAAACGAGACCAACAGATCAACCTTGTTCAAGACATTATTAATGTTTGTTCATGGAAAGTGTTGGTAAGCCTTGAACTGCAAAGACTGGATCACAGCATTTAGCACTGTGCTATTATTTGCAAACATCATACAGAAACAGCCAGTACGAGATCCGTCACTTTCTCAAAAGTTTGTCAACCAACCGAGCAAGCCAGGCTGATCAGCTAACTAGGCTACTGAGATTTTATCACATTTTAAACTCTATCGTTGAAAAAGAAATAGAAATACTTATTGCAATTTTGTTATACACGAGCTTTCTGTTTTGGGCCCCAGTTGTTCTAGCAGAAATGTTAATTATTCTAAGTTAGACACTATGCCATTAATGCTCTGCTTTAGGACGCCGTACGAACATCATTTAAAGCCTTGAGGTTTACAAAAAGAAGAATGACCACCCCAATACAAAATATAACTGTTCTCCATTTTATTGCAAGCTTTTAGCCTGGCTTTTGCACATAACTAGTCACGCATATGCAGCCCATAAATGATACTATACGCTTCCCCAAAAACTCTGCCAGACGCAAGGCTGAGGCTCAGGTGGAGAAAAGGTCCTGGCTGCTACAATGCCAAGGGAATGATGAAGGCGGATGAGATGAAACCACCTAAACTACACGCTTAGGAGGAGAAAGAGACTTGGTCTCTTGACATAAGAAAGTAACAAAGCACCTTAGAAAAGAGCTATCATTTAGGATAGGTTGGATGAGCTAGAAATCTGTGTCTCTCTCATAGCAGGGCTTTGAATAACCAGTGTAGACTAAACATTTAACTTACAGGTAGGTAAAGTTACACCAGATGAATCACACCCATAAAAGCTGCGGAAGCAATTAGGTTTTTAGCTTGTCTCCTGAGCCCTACTTTACTGCATCAATCATAAAGACTTTCTTTCTTTTCCTTTAACAAGTTGCATGATCTTCTGAAAAGTGAACATTTAAAGTCAGTTTTGTTGATGATATACCAGAGGCACATTATGTTTACACCATGTTTTTTTGCTCCTATTCATCACCTAGCTATTAAACGGTTAAGATCACTTTTATCTTGATGCTCTTTTGAGCTGCCAAACACATCCGATTACTCAGTGAACCCTCAAGAAAGTGAAGTCTCTACAGCTGGCAGAATCCAGTACAGAAAGTAGGAGGCAATTTTTTTACTCTGTGGGCACACCTCAAAGCTCTAACCAACAAACCCACCAAAACCAAGCCTTCACACTCATGGGGCCTCAAAATACCAAAGACTCTCCTGGTGCAGATGAGGAGAGACTTCCAGACTCCATGAGGCGTTCTTTGTCCCTACTTCCCTACCACCTGCAATGTTAACTTGAATAATTTTATATGTTGCAGATAGAAGCAGCTTTGATTATTCAATCTCTATTCCACACAACAATAAAAGCCAATAATGTCTTTAATTAAAAAAAAAGAAATAAAAAAAACAAGTGAAAAACCACTTTTGTCAGATAATGTGGGTACCAACAGAGAAGAGAGAAAAAAATCAAACTGAATGAATATCAGTGAATTCCCTGTGACCCACACTGCTCCATGTTTCTCTTCATGTTTATTAGCAGATCATTTAAATGAAGCATATAAACCTCAAATCTGAAGGATCTGATTGGCTTTGACTGGGCTGAATTCCATCTATTTCTGTTTCAGAGGATTATTATCCTTTTCTCTTGAGGAAAGACATGTATTTAAGAAAATGAGAGAAATGGGGGCTAGGAAGCTGCCTGAAAATTACATTAAAGCTCTTGGGGGCAAATAACTCCTGCAAATGAGAGCCATACGCTCATGGACTGTCAACACATCTGTTGGAGACGGCAGAAAAACCTGACTAAACCCTCTCCTCTTGGGCAGCCCACAGAGTGCGTAGTGGTGGCTATTCTCACAGTCTCACTGCTCAAACGCGTGCTTCAGGGACGGCCAGTATCCGGGGCCAACATCCCTTTTTTTCTTTTAGAATCATAGAATCATAGAATTGTTTGGGTTGGAAGAGACCTTAAAGATCATCTGGTTCCAAGCCCCCTGCCATGAGCAGGGACAACTTCCAGTAGACCAGGTTGCTCAGAGCTCCATCCAACCTGGCCTTAAACACTTCCAGGGAGGGGGCGTCCACAGCTTCTCTGGGCAACCTGTGCCAGGGCCTCACCACCCTCATGGTGAAGAATTTCTTCCTAATATCTAATCTAAATCTGCCCTCTTTTAGTTTACAGCCATTCCCCCTTGTCCTGTCACTACACACCCTTGTGCTTTTATTCATATTGGGTTTCTCTATTCTACCAGACAAACACAGAGCAGGTGCCTCAGGGATTCTCTCTTCTGAAGTTGCAATGTAGATTATCTAGTTTGTCTAAATACTGACTTGGCGTACAATCAATGTACAATACTAGCTGGAGCACTGAAGCACCTTAGAAATCAGTGTTTTGTTGCTGTGGCCATTTCTTCTGCTCAGCAGTGATCTGTCTCACAGATATACTGGGACAATGCTTTTTCCTCTTTGGCTTATTATTTCTTTGAGGAGCAAGAAACTGAACAAATTGTGTGGTTTCCATTATCTGACTGAACATTGGGTGAACAGAAATGAAGGGAGCTCCTGTTGTTAGGGCACTTGTAAAGGACAGATCCAGCACCTTGCTGGGTGAGGTTTCCTGAGAGACTCTGCACTGGTTATCTCCTTCTCTTTGACTGAGACCTGCTTGTATGAAACGAAGATGAAGACAGCGATGAGCTAAAATGCTATCATAAAGGGGCAATAAAAGGGCCAAGACACTAAGAGAGGTGAACACTTCTCACAAAATGCTGGACAAAACCAGCAGATGAAGCAATGGTATTCCTCGTTCCCCAGAAACTTAAAGGCAGATGAAACAAAAGTTGAAAGGAGGTCCTACAAGCCACGTGTGGAGGCTGAGGCCAGCTGAAAGTTTTTACCCCATGTGCTCCCAGAATATCTTCAAATCCATCTATCCTGGAATCCATCTAAAGACAAGGACTATGCTTCTCCTGTCCTTTGGCCATTTCTAGTTTCTTTCAACTAAAAAATTGTAACATATATTAAACCAAAGGGAGAAAAGAAAAATCTCATGCCTTGCGGTAACAGCAGATGACTGCAGTACTTTGGGGCAACCTGTATAACTCTTTCGTGTCAGCAAAGCTCTTGGGCTCTACAGCTGCTCAGAGTAATGGCAAAGGAATTATAATTCACTGTCGGAATAGCGTTGTTCTGTATTTACGGCATTTAGTTGTCCAGATGACAGAAACAGACTGGGTACCTATTGAATTTATAAATTGGTTTTAATCATGTTCCCCTGCCACCAAATAAATTAAAGCATTTCACAATTCTCTCCGTCCTCCACATCAGAACATCGCTGTTGTGAGTCGAATCGCTTCATCGTGCTGCTTAATAAGCAGTAGGCATCTGCCTCCCGGTACTCAGGCAGCTGGACGTACAGAGCCCCATGCCACCAGGAACTGCCCTCTTCGTCCTACTGGTGCACCAGTATTTGGCACAACAGTCAGGAAAACCAAAACGCACAAAAAAAATGTGCAAACGACTTGATTTTCTGGTGTCGCTCTCTATCGCACACCCTCTATCCACAACACTTGGTGTATTATTTTGCTCTTTATACTGGGAACTTCATCCTTACCTCCTCAAAACCTATCTATGCCAGGGTCTCTAGATGTTTCTGGGGCAGCATTAGGTGAGTTAGCTAATACTGCAGCTACGGGGAGAGATTCAGCAGACCCGAGCTCCAGCCTGGTGAATGATGGCAGAGTGTACAATAGCTTGTGAAGAACAGAGCTGCTTTTTACCAGCTGCACTCATCATTCCCTCACAATGTTAAGCCCTGGATAAACATCAGAATGTGACAGATAAGATTTTGTCTACTCAAAGGAACATTTTCCTCTCTAACATCAGTCATTGGAATAAGCTGACAACTTTTTCAAAGAGGCTCAATTGGAGACTATTGGCAGGAGTTACGGGGTTGAATCCTCTGGCTGTTGTTGCAAGAGTTCGGACAAGATGTTCACCGTATTCCCCACTGACCTTAAAATTCTATTATGACATGAAAATAATATCCCAGCATTGGATAAAGAGGTCAGTTTAGACTTGTAAGAGTGAGGAGTTGTTCCGTAACCTGCAGAAAAATCTGCTGTTTCCTGCAGATACGCTGCATGCTGGTCACCTGCTGCCTTCTCCATCCAGGCCACGTACAGAGACTTTACAGAACACTTCAGCATCTTCACCCATAAGAGGTGAGAAGGTTAAAAATGGTTATTTTACTATTAGAGACCTTACTGCTTCTCCTTCATCGACCCCTCTATTCCCACATTTCTCTGTCAGCCTCACAGCCCTGCTCTTTTCTTCCAAACTCAACTCCACTTTAATAAACATCCAGAAACCTTCAAATAACACAAATGATACTATTAAGAAGCTGTGAAACAGAGAAGGGCATGGCCGCAGCCTTCCCTCAACACACCCCCAAATCACTCCCAACCCCAGCCATTTGATCTTACTGTGCTTCCTCCATTGAACTGATGATTTTTCCTCCATTGAATTGATGATGAATTTTGCTATCATCAGCTTCATTATGAATAAAGAGACTTGGCCTTTGGTTAATATGTTCTTTAACAGAGCTCTCTTTTCATTTGGAGTGGATGCCCTACACAGTATAGATATTTGTGTTTAACTGGTAATGTTGCATTCGTGGAGATTTTTTAAGGCTGGAAGGAGCTGGAATTTTCAACTGTTCTCCTCAACACTTTCATTTCTGCCTGTAAAAAGCTATAGCACTTTTTAGGTCAGAAATTTTTTTAATAGAAATCTAAACTAGCAATGAGCCATTTCCCTTT